GGGCATCTTTGGGAGCCTAGCACATTGAGTTTCTCCTGGAAGCTTCCAACCTTTCTGGGCAGTTATCGGGGGCAGCAGATGACTAGATCCAATATTTTGGGTTCTCCTTTCTGTAGAGGGATGTTTTTGCTTCACTAGCCTGTGAAAAGGTGAAGAGAATTCGTTAGTGTCTTTTCCTCTCACTGAATATATGTGTTTCTCACTTTGAACATCTCTCTCCCTTCCTTGAAACCTCTCTGTTGCCTCCAAGCTGGGTAAGACCTCCCTGATGCTCTGTCCTGGATTGTTTGTACACAAGGCTTGTAGTCATCCTTTGAGTCAGTTCAGCCAAGTTGTATTCTGTCTACCGATGTCTTGGAGGTAACCTGCACATTCAGCTCAGTTAGTTCTTGATCATTAAATGGAAGCCTTGGAAATTTTGATCTCCCCAATTCTTTCTCAAGAAAACCTAGCTTTCAGGATAGATGTATGACTTGGGCCTTGAGAAAGCATTAGTTTATAGTGAAGTCTGGGCAATGATCTTTATGTTCAAATTGACATCAAGCCTCTCAGTCCCTCGGTATTAAGGTTTGTGTCTTAGCCTTCATGGGAGGCTGCAGCATGATGGTTCTGTGTGTGCGTGTGTGTGTGTGTGTGTGTGTGTGAAGAAATAAATGCATCAGTTGAATGTTTCCAAGGCATTTCTCCCTATAACTCTCTCATCAGTATGTTTCAGTAGATTAGGTACCGACTCTAATGTGTAGTCTCTGAAACTCCCTGAAAGGAAACCCGTGGTTCTCTTGTAGATTGGCGGAAGGAGAAGTTCCAGGCCTGTGAGTGACTGCGTGTCCTTTCTGAGTATTCCTACTGCTGTCCTGGGGCCTCCCCTTCAGTTGTCTGTGGTGATACAGATGCCGGCGTCATCGGTGCTGGTGGGATGGGATGTGGCCGTTTTAGTCACATAGTTGGGGCTGGTGGGTGTGGCTGACTTTGGATGCTAGGTAGAGATGCTTCAGCCCTTGGAGTCCAGGCTGGTCCTCAAGGGCCCTGGGACATACCTAACCCCCAAATCAGCCTTGTGGTTCCTTCTCCTGCCTGGAGGGCCATGGGCTTGATTCACAAGTTTCTAAACTCAGGCAGCTTATCCTTCCCCCCATGCAGCTGGGAGTCCAAGCTGGGGGGTGTTTGGGAGATCTTGTTATGGGGCAGGGGAAGGCCCTGTATGACAGGCAACTTTCTCTGCAGGTCCTGTCACTCTGGATCCAGGATCTGCCCATTCAGAGCTTGTCATCTCTCATGAAAAGAAAAGTGTGGCCTGGAAGGACTTCAATAATGCCTCATCAGACACCTGCAGCGTACTGGGCTTTGAGGGCATCACAGCCGGGCGCTGGTACTGGGAGGTGGAGGTCAGGGATGGAGACAGAAGCGAGTGGGCTCTGGGAGTCTGTAGGGAAGGTGTGAACAGGAAAGGTTGGTACTTTGAATTACCAGACAGGGGGTTCTGGGTTTTGGGTCGATTTGAAAGTGGATACTGTGCCCGTACTAACCCTACAACTGATCTCTTCTGTAGGCAGTTTCCCT